TCCACTCTCAAGACTGGGAAGTCAGAAGCAGCAGATTTGGTGGGAAGAAGATGGGTTTGTTGTTGGTAATGTTGAGTCTGAGCACCTGAGGGTCTTTCAGGGCCAGATGTGGAGTCAGCAGTTGACCTGTTGTTCACAACCAAAAGGATAAACCCAAGGTCATCCACCCTCGGCCACTCTTTGTTACCTCCAAGGGGCCTCTGGAGCCAGCCCTCCTCATCAGCACACTCATGTCCTCCCTCCTCTTTTCTGACCATTTTCCCCTCCACTCCACCTCCCTCACTACACCCCAGCACTCCCGATGGCTTAGCTCCCTTGGGCCATTTGGCACTGGCATCACCTCCTCCTCCACAGCTCCCTGGGCCTTGTTACATCGCCTTTTCTCTAGTTGCACCTGTTCATTAGCACATCACCCTGTTTTATCTCATCACACTTGTCGGTAGCTGAAATTATGTTATTTACTTAATTCTTGTCTCCTGCCTTAGAAAATAAGTTCCTAAAAGCAAGGGCCTTGTCAGCCTTTTTCAAAGTACCTGACACAAGGCAGGTGCTCAATAATATTTCTTACGCGGAGGAGCGATGGACAGGTTGAACCCTCCATTCCCAGCTTTACCTCTGTATCTGCCAGCTCCCTCTCAGCAGCGTTTAACATGCTTACGTCTCACCCATCTTAAAAAAACTTTCTCTCGGGTCTACATCCTTCACAGCTACTATCCTGACATCTTTCCTCCCCTTCCCAGCCAAGCTTCTCAGATTATCTACAGTTGCTGCCTTTACTTCCTCGCCTTTCACTCACTCCTCCACCCAATCCAGTCCACTTCATGCCCAAATCAACCCAAGGATCTCCTCTGAGTTAAATCAGCAATATTTGAAGCTTCCCCTCCATCCTTCCTCCGGAAGCATTCCCTGACACTCCAGGCTGATCAGGTCCCACTATGTTTACTTTCATAAAATAAATAAAGCAGTGCTTCTGCTTTACTGCACTTCTAACATGTGTTTTTGTGTAATTATGCATTTGGTGTCTCTTCACTAGCAGAATGAAAGCTCCATTCAGGCAGGGACATTTTCTGATTGTTTATTCTGAGCACATTGTGGGAGGAATTCAATATTTATTGGAGGGATGGAGGGGGTAGGAAAAGTGACTGGATGAGGACTAGCAGGCCAGGAAAAAGACACAGGTTGAATATATACTGGGAGTGATCTGTCCTTACAGGCACTAATCAAGATCACATTAGTAGACAGATAAATATGAAAAGTGCTGAGGGTAGGGATAGGCTGGGAATTCTCCTGTTGGGGACAAGATAAGGAAGTAATCAGAATGGATTCACTAAGTCACACATTCTGCCATTCAACAAGTACCCACTGAATACCAGGCACCCTGCTGGATGCTGGACATACAAGGGCAAATCCCACATGGCCCTGACCCCAAGTGACCTCACCTGCCTTAGGCACCCAGGGTTATCATTCCCAATCTATGTGTGGAAAACTTGGGAGGACCCAGCCAAGGCTAGTTGGGAGGCTCAGGGCTGAATTATGTGGCTCTCTCTTACAGGTCCAGCAGACAAGTTTTCTCTGGTGGGAGATCTGAACTGACACACACCACAGGACTCTTTCCTTGGCCCTGATCTGATCCATAAATTTATTGGTGACTTGGGTGAAGTTGGAGAGGTCCAGTGTTCAGACTTGTGGGTGGACAAGCTGGGAGGCAGAGCAGAAAGGGTGGGCAACAGTGCCAGGATCCCAAAGTCTCAACAGGCTGGAGCCCTGGGATGACCCTAAAAGATGGTGTCTAACAGGAACAAGAGCAGGTCCCCTGGCTGTGTCCTGAACTCCAGTATTACAACCCTAGGGAAAGAGACATGACAAACACTTCCTGTAAAGAGTAACCAGCGGAGGAGCGCTGTGCTTTTGTCTCCAGTGTATGTGGTGACCTGGCAGAGAACCTGGCACCCAGAGGGTGTTTATTGCATGTTTTTGGGTGTGCCCATAGGGTGATTGTGCAAATGAGGAAAGTACACTAAGTTTGGAGTCAGGCATTTGGGTTCAAGTCTTCTCTGTTCAAGTCGTTGGCCTTGGATAAATCAGCAACCCTCGCTGAATTTCATGTTCCTCATCTATAAAATGGAAGTCATGAGGCCCATTTTTTTTTTCAATGAGATAACAGATTATCAACTCCACAGCCTAATAGATGTTGATCCTATTATTAAGACACAGTCCCTGCTTTCAAGCATGTACAGAACCACAAAGAAGCCCTTTCAACACACCTGACAGTTGTAAGAAAACAACTACCCTTGCCTTGGATAAGTGGGAGGTCTTGAGGTGGAGACGTAGGAAGAACATTCCAGGCAGAGCAAGCACAGTGAGCAAAGGATGGAAGATGTGCACAGTGTCCTGAGCACTGCCCAAGGGCCACATAGCCAGGAGGTGGCGACTTGGTAAGGGAAAGAGACCAGAGTGGTCAGCAGCACAGGTCAAGCAAGGCTTTGTAGGTCACCGCCAGGAGTTTGTACTAAGCACAAGCAATACTAAATGTTATAGGTGTCATCACTTCTTTAGGTATATGCGTATAAATGTTGAACAACTATGGTGTGCCCCTGAAACTCATATATCGTATGTTGGCTATAGTTTTTATTAAAAAATTTTTTTAAATGTAAATGCTTTAGGTGTCATAAGATTTACGTTTAGAAAGGTCAGCCAATTGCCATATGAAGACAATATGTGACCAGTCTGGAGGCAGGAGAGGCCAGCCACAGTGTGGCAGTGGACCCGAGAAGGGGGGACAAGGCTGAGAACAGGCAGTAGCCACATGACTTAGAGGGTCTTGACCTTGGGCAAGGTATGTCACTTTTCTATAAAATGGGGACAAAAATGCCTACAACAGGGTTAATAGGAGGGTTCAACGACATGATGAATATTAAGTGCCCAGAAGGTAAATGGTTCATAGAAAATACTTGATAAATGTTATTCAAATTGCCCTTCCCCCTTTATCCTGATCACTCCGTGCATTAGTTAGGGTCTTTACTAGCATACCAGCCTGGCTTCCTTCTTCCTGTCATTAACTATCCTTCAGAATGTAAGCTCCAAAAGGGCAAGAACCTAGTCTGTCTCATTCATCACTGTAGTCTCAGCACCTAGTACAGAGCTTGGTCCCTAATAGATGCTCACTTAATGTTCACGGAATTAACTGAGCACCTTCTAAGCACCATTCCACATGCCAAGAATATAGTGATGAACAAAATGAAGCTCAGCTCTCTGGAAGTTTGTTTGAGTTACTGCAAAAATTAAAAAAAGTGATTCTAGATAGTGCTGATGCTATAAAGTACAAAGGGTGACGTATTAGAAAGTGTCAGGGAAGCTGTTTAACCAGTGGGTCATCAGGGGAGGTGACACTGGAGCTGAGGGTTCCAAGCACAGGGGTAGCTAACACAAAAGCTGGGAAGCAGCTTGAGATGATCAAGAAACCAAACCTTTTGGTTTCTTGGCTGGAGCACAATGAATGAGAGGAAAAGACATCCAAGATGAGGCTGGAGAGGTGGGCAAGGGCCACATCACACAGGGCCCTGCAGGATACAAAGAGGATACTGGATTTTATTCTTGGTGGGGTGGTAAGCCATTGCAAGGTTCTAAGGAGAGAAGTGACTGGTAGACACTTTTAAGGGATCACTGTGGCTACAGTGACAGGCAAGGATGGGAGCAGGGAGCCAAGTTAGGTTATTGCAGTGCCCAGAGGACAGGCAGGTTACTTGGGTTAGAGTGTAGCAGTGGAAATGGCACTTGTGCAGTGACCACCTCTCATCTTTTGGCTGCATTTGGCCCCTTGTCTACCCTTTCCCCCAGCCCTGGTCACCTGGGGAACAGATGTGCTTGTGTCAATGTCCACCACCCCCACAAGTCCACAAGCCCAAGGATGGCAACCAGATTTGGTTGATATCCAGCACCTTTCAGCACATAATGTGTGTGTGGCCATAATGANAGAGTAGAGCCAGGCGTGGGATGTGCCTTTGGGCAGCCACTGTGGGGGGACCAAGGGGAGAGGAGTCCAGGCTTGAGGTGGGTTTTCATTCTGCATTGACATCACCTCTGAGACTTGCGCCTGTGATGGGCATGGGACCCAGCAATGCCTCAGACACTGCCCTCAGACATTGCCCTATGCTGAGGCATGCATTTCAGGTAGGCTGAGCTAAAGACACCTTTAGAAGTGTGTCAGCAGAAAGCATGTTGCCAGTGAATGGATATACTAAGTGAAAGAAGCCAGACACAATGCCTCATACTTTATTATTCCATTTATATGAAATCCTACAAAAGGCACAAGTATAGTGACAGAAAGCAGGTCAATGATTCTGGGGGGTAAGGGTAGGGTGAACTGCAAAGGGACACGAGAGAAACTTGGTGAGTGATGGGAATATTCTGTATTTTTATTATGATGAGGGTTATACGATGATATACATTTGTTAAAATTCATCAAATTGCACTCTGAAAATTGGTGAATTTTATTGCATGTAAGTTATACAGATAATCCCCAACTTAACAATGGTTTGACTTACAATTTTTTTACTTTACTTGAGAAAATGATACACATTCAGTGAAAACCAGCTAGACTAAGCTATGATGTTCACTGGGTTAAATGCATTTTCAACTTAGATATTTTCAACTTACGATGGGTTTATTGAAACAAAACCCCATCTTAAGTCAAGGAGCATCTGTACTTTAATAAAAGTTCATTTTTAAAGTGAATGGAAATTGAGAGTGTCTACTAACAGGCACAAGGTTTCTTTTAGGGTGATGGAAGTGTGCTGGAATTTGATAATGGTAGTGGTTGCACAACTTTCTGAATGTACTAAAAACCATTGAATTGTATACTTTAAAATGGTGAATTTATGTTATCTGAATTTGAACTCAATTTAAGAAAAAAAAATTTTAAGTGAATGAAAACAAAGGTCAAGCACTCAGGAGTCCTGGACTCCCAGTCTCAACCCCACCAGCATGTAGTGCCCTCTTACCTCCTGCTTTGGCAGGATAGCCTATATAAAAGGCAGGGTCCAGAGCTGGCGCCAGCAGCACGTCCAGGTCCAAGGACCTCCATTTGGCTATGAACTCTTGCTGATATTCCTGCAGGGACAATAGAGGCAGGAGGGGTAAGACTAGCAGAGGTCATTGTTTGCAGGACAAGGTCAGATGCTGCCAGGCTGAGTTGGGTTAGACACCAGGAGCAATTCTCAAGCTATGAGATACAGACTGAGATATCTGGGAAGGATCAGGGTCTTCCCAGGGGCTAAGATAAAAGGATGAGAAGGGGAGTCTCAGGCTGCAGTGTTTTGGAGACAATATATCATCCCAGTCCTAGGGAAATGGACTAGATTGACCTCCTAGGTCACCAAGCCTTCCCATCGAGGTCTAGCCAGGCCTCCCCTGCAGGCCAGGACAAAGCTCTGTCCCATGTCTGGCCACTCCTATCACCACCCAGGTCTCTGCTGCCCCTGCTTCAGCAGTACCTTGATGTCTTGCCAGGCATACATCACCTCCACTGCTGTGTGCTGCTCCCATAGTTTCTTGGGTGTCCTGAGGGAATGAGGAAGACTCTGAAAAGTCCAAAGGTCAGCATAGAAGGACCCCCTTTTATACAAATGGGACATAATACTCAAGAAGCAGGGCCTGGCCTCAGTGCAGGCTGCAGATCATCTGATAGGCTGGGAATAACCCTGTGTCTTGTCTCCTGGCCAAGACACCTTGCCTGTTCAACATTCCCAAGAGTACACAACCTCTAGTCAATGCCCCACCATCACGCTGGCTGCTGGCTACATACAGTAGCCCATGGCAACCCACTGCCACAGGGACTGCAGCCTACGCCNAGTTACAAAAAATCAGGACAAAGTGCAACAACTACTGGGTCATGCCAACCTAGGTGTCCATGTGGGTGTGTTCCTCTAGTCAGCCCCAAGGGTCTGCCCTGAGACTGATGCCACCAAGTCGGGTACACCATTGGTAGAGAGTGCAGGTGCCACTGGTTGAGCAACTTGGAGGGGAAAGCCCCTCTGGAGTTGCATAAAAATCAGGACAAAGAATGAAGCTTTTCAGCTGATCCTGAAAACAATTTGAAGTAGGCCAGGAGGGAGGCTGAGGCCTGCCCTGCCAGGAGGGCTCAGTCTCTGGCTGAGAAACATCTTCTATAGCAAGCAGGGGAGTTAGGGCTGGGGCCAGGGAGGAGCAAGGGGGCTCTGCTAGTGGGGCCAAGAAGCCCCTAGTCTGTCACAGGTGAGCCACCCTTCATTTGCCAGACAACACAGTGCAGGGAGAAGAGACCTGACAGATTGAGCTGAGACAGCTCACTTGCATTTCAACTGTTAACTCCTAAACCACCTCTCTCTCTGCCCCTGGACCACTACTCTAGCTCAGGCCTCAGGCCCCCTTCCCCAGATTAGGATAATGGAGCAACCTCCTTATCTCTTTTCAGCCTCTGTCCCTCCAGTCTATTCTCCTCGCTGCACTTGTGTGATCCTTCAAGAGCCCTTGAGACAGGATTCAAGCTCCTGAACTGGACCCCCAAGTTCACCTTGATCTGGCCCTACCTGGCACTGCTTCTCCTGTGCCATTCAACATGTTTCCATCTACCAAACTCATCCTAGTCTTTGGGCATACTGTTTGTCCTCCCTGGTATGTCGTCATCCCCTATCTCAGCCTCTGGGAACCTTCTAGACTCAACAGAGGTCCTTCTCCTTCAGGGAGCCTTCCCAGAACAATCCAGTCCTTGGCGGGCCCTGTGAACACCCACTACCAGATTGCTTTGTCTGGTGCTCACCTCCCCAGGCCAGTGGGCTCCTCTCCCCAACAGTACCAGCTCAGGGTCAGCACTCCAGACTTCCAGCTGCCCTATGCTGGCCACCGAGGACAAAGATGTACAATAGGTTCCCTACCATCAAGGAGAGCCAGTGTGTTAAGGGAGGCAGGCCAGCCCACCCCCAACAGATGCCCACCCCATGGCACAGACTGGGGAGAAACTGGCCACCTATTCTGGGCCTCAGAGGAAGAAGGGAAGGCCCTCTGGAAAAAGAGGGAGCTGAGCAGGGCCTCAAAGGATTTAACAGTAAAGGAGCAGAAAGTTTATCCTCAGCAGAGGAAAGGAGCAGAGGAAGGGAGAAGAGGAGGGGCAAGGTCTAGCAAAGTAGGGCTTCGTAAGAGGCGGGAGGGAGAGGGTGAACTGCTGGGGCTGCAACACCCGCTCTGAGAAGCCTGTGTCCATCCTGTGTGTGATGGAAAACAGGGCAGGCTTAGGAGCAGGACACTGACATGGCTGGAGCCAGGCTCTAGCAAGTCAAGTCTCCAAGCCCCGCAACGCCCCACCCCTCCACCCCCACTCCACCCCGTGCCCTAACAATGATGGCCAGAAAGTACACAGACTAGAAACAATTTAACTGTTAGAGGGCCTTTGCCCATGTCATACCCATTAGCTGCTGCCACATGGCGGGGGAGGGGTCAGGGCAGAGACTGGGGACCAGGGCAGAGATCGGGGTGCAAGGTCCACACTCAGGGGGTCTGGGCTTCTTATGGAGAGGAGGAAGAGGGGACATGGAAGTCTCTGCCCCCACGCTGACCATTTCCTCTCAGGGTGGTAGCTGTGCCCTGACTAGAATGCACGTGGATCGAGTGGGTCTCAGGTCCTCTGGAGCCAGCCAGGCAGCTGGGCAGGCAGCAGTCAGAATGGCCGCTTTTCAGGGGTCATCAGTCGCTCCACCTCCCGCATAAACCTCAGACACAACTCTTCCTGCCATGGCAGAGCCACGCACTGCACGGCCACAGGCAGCCCCACGCTCTTCTTCATGCCCTGCAGGGGACACAGGCATCAGGATGGGAGGTATTGAGGCAGGACCCCACCCCGGTCCAGGAAGCATCCCAGCAGGAGAGGAGGGGCAGCATAGCAGGGCCAGGCCGAAGTCTTTAGAGGTCTTGCATTAACAAAGACGGGCAAGGACTATATGTGTTTATATTGTTTTCTCCGCAGCAACTAGCGTTAGGGTGTGGGTGTAAGTCCAGGGGAAGGGGGACCTGAAGTTGGCCAGGCCAGGCCCCATGGCCTCACCTTCTGCAGCACCTTGTCCCAGATATCCCCAAAGTAGCCCCGGTAATGTTCCATCTGGGCCTCATCCTCGACGGTCACAGTGGTGACAGGCACCACCCCCGCTGGGAAGTCCAGGCAGTTGTAGAGCAGAGTGTAGCTGACAGCCCCTGAGACACAGTACAAGTCACTGCAGCAGGCCGGGTGACCTTCAGGGCCAACCGTCCTGTCTGTACCTAGTCTTCCACCTTACAAAATGGCCTCCACAGACAAGGGCTGAGACCTGAGTGACAATGCCCAGGAATGCAGATTCAGGGCAGGCTGTGGCCTTGCCCCTGGAGTTTCCTCCACCTGGAATGTTGTTCCTATTTTCTTGGCTTATCTAAATACCACCTGGACTTCAAACACCACCCGCTCCCCCAAAACCAGACCATGTCACTCAAGACACCCAACTTGAACAGTGCAGAGGACTGGGAGCTCATTCCCATCTGGGGCACCCCATGTGACTGCCATCTCTCCAGTCAGCCAAACTGTGAGCCCCCCAAGGGCTAGGTCCTCCCCCAGAGGTGCAGTCTCCCCGAGGGCTCCTCTTCTACTTCCCGGCAGCCCCATCGGGCACAGGGCTGAACTCATAGAAGAGGACGGACAGATGGGGGTGTCAGGGGCCTGGCGGGACAGCAGGCCTCACCTGTCGCTCTGCCTGGGACATTCAGGTCCATAGCAGGGCCCAGCATGGGGGTGAGCAGCACATCCAGGTCCAGCGCTCTCCACTGGGCGATCACGGAGTTGCGGTACAGCTGGGGAGGGTGCCAGCACAACAAGTGAAGCACTCAGACCCGGCCTATCACATGGACTCTCCAATGCAGGCACTGTGGCTGGGGTGGATCTGGCCCCAGCACCTGCCTTGGGATCTGAACTGAGCCACAACGGGATGGAGGTCCTCGGGGCACACAGGCATGTCTGCTTTCAGGGGGTATCAACTTCTCCACCCCTTCCATAAACTGTAGACACCATTTTTCCTGCCAGGCCACATAATGCCTAGCCACAGGCAGCATCAGAGGGGCAAAGAGGCATGCAGGATAGGAGCCCCAGGCTGACCCAGCCTTAAGGATGTGCATTTGGGCAAGTGAAGGTCCAAGAGCAGGGCCCAAGCAGGCCAGTACAGGGAGGGAGAGGGGGAATGACAGGCTACTCCAGGAGACCAGTGGCCAAGAGACCCCAGTGGCAAGTACCCTGTCCACCCCCACCCCCACCATGCTCTAGTCTAGGGGTTCTGGCCTCACCTCGATCTCATGCTGCAGTTCCCAGAGCTTTTCAACAGACCTGGGCAGAGGGAGTGAGGTCATCGGCCATGATGGTCACAGCCACAGAGATTAGCAACATCAGATCCCTACTCTTAACACCTCCCAGACTGCAATCCTGCAGGGACCCTTCTCGACTCTATGGGAGCTCTGAGAGGGACGTAGTGTAGGGCAGAAGCTCAAATCCCTACTGTCCTATCCAGAAGATCCGGCCCTAAGAGGGACTTAGGCTGGGTCACTTAGTGACTCCACAGCAGAGCCAGGACCAGACCAGGCCTGATTCCTAGCTACCTTTGGGACACAGGACAGGTCAGAGCTGTCAAAGATTCTAAATGCCTTGTGGTGACAGGACAAAGTCCACAGGATGTCAGAGCCTGAAAGTGGGCGGTTTATGCCCTGCTTTCCCCGCTCGAGCCACTAAAGGACAGGTAGGACCCAGTGCAGCTTAGTTCATTTCAGATCTCTAAGAGCAATATCTCTCACAGGGTCCCCTGTCTTACACCAATTCCTTCCTGGTCCTTTCCACTTATGCCCCAGCCAGGTCCATCTTCTCCTCTCCACCCTCTCCCATCCCATTCTCTCCCTCAGGCCCTTGCTCTCCAGCCAGACCTGGACCTT